ATATATATATATATATATATATATATATATATATATACATGCATCGGAACCGGAACCGGCCTAGGAACCGAACTTGGTGGAAAATAGGAACCGAACCAGACCGCCGGTTCTACCGGTTTCGATTCCTATCGGTTCTTGCCGTGTCTTTAATGTTGGAACCGGTCCTCGAGAAATAGCAACATACGGTTCCGGTTTTGCCGGTTCCAAAAGTCCACAAGAATATCGTCCCGGTCCCGGCCCGATCGGTTCTATCCGGTTCCAGCCGGTTCTCCGGTCCAAATGCTCATCCCTAGCTACGTAGCAACACCACATTTAACAAAACCCGCATTGAGTGTTTTCGAGACGATTACACCATGTCTTGCACGCGACACACATTTTAAAACCATGCTTAAACATAAGATGCAAGTTTAGAAGAAAAAAAATGTTTTAGCATTTAGCGTTACCATCGATACGTTACTTAAGGTTGCAGGGAGTGGGGGTCTCTATGACCCTCACTAGCCTCACTAGCAGACGCCACACATCGCCCCCAGGGCTTGCCTAGGGTGCAACGAGATGAATGAAGAGGGTGAGTTTGTAGGGGGGATTCTAAATACACCTACTTAAATGCACTTATAACTTAGTCAAAATCACTAATCTAAAGTCAAATAAAATATTAATAAAAAAAAATGTAATTTACTGTGAACCGGAAAAATTATAAGGGTTACAGGGCGTGCGCTTTTTAAGCTAAATGTATCTACTTTTTAAAATAATTAATTTTATATTAATATGTAATTGCAATTATGCCATCTTTAATCTAAGCCATTAGAATATTATAATTCTATTTTAAATTTATGTATGTACATTTTTAAAGTAAATTCTAATTTTAGTTTTAAGCTGTGACTATTCATTTATTAATTGCTGAATAATGACATAAAGCTGTTGGTATAAAATTCATTACAGAATAATAACATAAAAATAATGTTTTTACGTTATCATATTATTTACTGTTTTTTTGAACTATCCCCCATATATATAAATGATAAAATAGAGTGTCTTTTTAGCCGACCCCTAAATTAATACACCATTACTCTTTATTTTTTTATCAACTTTGATGCTACCACTCCCTATAACCTATATCAAATAAAAAAAATGATATGATATCAAAAGAATCTGATTATTCAAAGAATGCTACCACTTTCCCCATCCCACTTTGTATCTAGGGAAAATGAATTGCGGGGTAATTATCTTTTCGTCTTGTTTACGTTTAGGTAACATTATTATTTTTGTACATATTTGACCATTTAACTTGTTAAATGTGTTCAACGGTAATATGTGAACACATTTAACAAGTTAAATGATCAAATGTGTACAAAAAAATTAAGTTACCTAAATATGAACAATTATTATTTTTTTTTTACAAATTTCTTAAAATTTTTTATAATTTCTTACAACATTTTTATAATATTTTTTTTCCTATAGATTTTTCTAATATAATGTTTTAAATACTTGTTTATAATTTTTTTTAAACTTTTTTTATTCTTTCATATAATTTTAATACAAGTGCTTTTAAACCAAATATTTTATAAATGTTTTAGATTTTTCTTACAATTATATAACTTGTTTTTTTTTTTTTTTTTTTTTTTTTTACATTTTCATATATTTTTTTTATAACTTTCATACATTTATTTCTAAACTTTCTTTTACAACATTTTTAAAGTGTTTCAGAGATTTTGTATGATAGTTTAATATTTTTTTTATAACATTTTAAAATACTTTCGTTAAATACTAGTTTAAAACGCTGTATTAAAAAAATTAAAAGTTTATAAAATCGCTATTAAAAGTGAAAAAAATGACTTATCAGAGTATTTAACTTTTCGTTTTGTTCATATTTAGACAACTTTCTTCTTTTTGTACACATGTGGCCATTTAATTTGTTAATATATTATCATTGTTACCGGCTATAATCGGTGACAATGAAAATATATGAACACATATAAAAGTTATTTAAATATGTTAAATGATGAAATGTATACACAAAGAAGTTATTTAAATATAAACAAAACGCTAAATTAAATATAAACAAAATGATAAAGGGGATTACCGAGAACCATTTTCCTTTTTATTTACTCGTCCTCCATAGAAACAAAATGACATCGGAAAGAGCGACCAAACAGCTGTTGAACTATAAAATATAACATAAATAGCTTCCCATTTACTCACTTTCTCTCGCCTTTTTAAATTCATTCCTATCGCGCTTTACATTCTCATTCTTCGAGCAGGGTTTTAGCAAAACCCCTCTTTTTTTTATTCGGCCATCACTTTTGCTACCATTTTTCTGTGGTTTACCTGTCGGACTGTCGTTTTGCTTGTTTGACCGGAAATGTCATCGTCGGTAGCGGTGGAGACAGAGAAGAAAGAAGAGGATGTGAAAGGAGGGGAACTGTTGTTCTGTGGTACGACATATTGGGCCACCGTTGACCGCCGTCACGTGTCACCGCAAAGCAACTTAATTTCTCCCACACGACTTCGGCCTCTCGTCGGCGTCGACATCCGTTTTGTTGCATCCGGCAGCGGTAAGTCCCGCGCAATGATTTTTCATTATTGGACTAAGATTCAACAAATGCACTGTTAAAATCCCTAAGTTTATACTGTTCTTGAACATTTTATGCAGCATCTAGTCATTGTGTGGCATTGGATGTCGATGGACGTTGCTACACATGGGGACGAAATGACGTGAGTTCATATCATTTCTTCACATATACCAAAATAGCCATCAAAATCGAAATCTCGTATGATTTTCGACATTTAAACTGTAAATCACTGTGTTATTTTTGCAGAAGGGGCAACTTGGACATGGTGATACAATCATTCGAGAGAAGCCAACACTTGTGTCTGGTTTGTCTAAGTAAGACAAAGATTCGAAACCTTTTATACCCTTTAAGCAAACTATACTCTTCGATTCTAGTCTATTTCTGTATTTGTGTTTCGAATTTTGAAAAGTTTCAAATCTTTTTTCAGGTATAAAGTTGTGAAAGCAGGAAGTGGGGTAGGCCATACTGTTGTTCTAACTGAAGATGGCCTTTCTTTCTCTTTTGGTTGGAACAAACATGGGCAACTTGGAACAGGGTCAACCAAAAATGGTGATTTCCTCTTATTTTATTATAATCACGTGCTTATTTTCTGGCTTGTAGAAGATTCTTTCATTCTTTAACTTTAACATCTTTTGATTATGTAGAGTTTGAATTATCTCCAGTACGTTGTCTTATAACGGATGTAAAAGATGTTTCATGTGGGGCTGATTTTACTGTTTGGTTATCTTCCATTGAAGGCGCTTCGATACTGTAAATTGTCAATTTTACGCTCTTCAATTCACACTTGTTAACATGTTGAAATATATATTTTTTTGTTGGTTTTTAGAACTGCAGGACATCCACAGTATGGTCAACTTGGACATGGAACTGATAATGAGGTATTTGTGTAACATTTTATTTTAGTTTAATTATAATCTTTAATCTTTAATGGGTTATGTTTATTTTTATATAGTACAACATGAAGGAAAGCTCTGTGAAGCTTGCTTATGAAGCTCAACCTGTGCCTAAGGCTATAGCTTCTCTTTCAGAGGAAACAATAATCAAAGTTGCTTGTGGGTCAAATCATACAGGTAGTTTAAATTTTGAATTTTAAAAGATTTGCTGATTCTTTATACATTATATGTTATGTTTTTTCTTTTATGACCTAACATGGGTGATTTTTCAGTTGCATTGGATTCAAAGGGCTATGTTTATACGTAAGTTATCATTATCATGTATCTATATTATGATTATGTATTTACATGTCATTAATTTTGTATTTTAAATACATTGTAGGTGGGGCAATGGAGGATATGGAAGGTGAATAATTTCTTTCTTTCATTTAATTCCCAAACATTTTTTCCCTATCAAAATTACTCAAATACCCTTTTAGCCTATTCGTTCCCTCTTTTCGGTTCCCTCTTTTCGCTCACGGATTCCATTCCATTTCCAGCCAACCAATTCCAATTCCAATTCCAATTCCATTCTTTAATAATTAATATCTAAAATCTTGATAACATAACAGGCTTGGACATAGAGAACAAAAAGACGAATTTACCCCTCGGCGTGTTGATGTTTTCACAAAGCATAATACTTTACCACCCACTGCAGTTATTTCAGCTGGTTCTGTAAGCTCTGCTTGTACTGCTGGTATGCTTTCAATTCTTTATTTAAACACTTTTATTTATTTATTTAATTTTATGAATTCTTTTTGTATTTTAATTTTGAATCACTTTTTATTTTGGTAATCAAAATACAGGTGCAGGGCAGATGTACATGTGGGGTAAAATAAAGCTTACTGGTGATAATTGGATGTACCCTAAACCTCTCATGGATCTCAGGTTTTGACTTTTCACCTTTTTCTTTAAATGATATTTTTTTTGCATTTAACTTTTTATTTTAAATAAATACACATCTAAATAATCATGTATCTGTTGTAATGTTGCAGTGGTTGGAACATACGTTGCATGGATTCAGGAAATATGCATTATTTTGTTGGTGCAGATGCTTCATGCATAAGTTGGGGCAATGCTCAATCTGGTGAACTTGGATATGGGCCTAATCAGCAGAAGTATATAATATATTTATATAATTTCATTTTAAAAAAATCATTTCATGGTTTTTGCTAAGTTGTTGTGTTTTATATATGGTGGTTGCAGATCTTCAGCGATACCCAAAAAGGTTGATGATCTTGAGGATATGCATGTTATCAGGTTTGTATTTTAGTCATACATATATAATTATATATACATATGAACATATTATGTATTTTTTTTTTTTAATTATATGTGTTTGTGTAGTGTTGCATGTGGTTCAGCACATTCCTTGGTGGTGGTTGATAGGTCAAATGTAGGGAAACGGCTTGACAAGGTATTCCTTATCTCTACTATGGAATGGAATGGTTAATTCCATAGTAATGAGAATAACCAATGGGCCCACTTTTGTTTGTCACTTTCTTTTTTCGCTCTATCTCTGAATTGAATGAGAAGTTGCATTATGACTATCAATTAAAATCGTAAAAAAAAAAAAAATCAAACAAGATTTGTATTTTGAAGACACAAATCTTGTTTAATTCTGTGTACTTTTAATTATATTACACTTTTATTTTTTTAAAACCAAACAAATGATTTTTCTTATTTACTTATTTGTCTGTCATTCCTTTCCATCCAATTCCAACCAAACAAAACTGTTGCTACTTTCCATGATTTATGTTGTCATGGGTTTATGAAGACATGAAAGACAATTCCAACTACAATACAGTTTTCTGTTTTTCAGTTATTGGTTTTACTATATTTAATTCCAAGTTGACTTGTTCTTTCTATTTCTACAGCTTGATGTTTATGATGGCAAAGACCCCAGTGAAGGTATGCATGCTCATTTACATTTCACAAATGAGATTCAATTTTCTAGATTTAGATTCTCTCTCTCTCTCTCACTTTAATTTAATTTAATTTTACAAATGTGATCTAACGATGAATTCCTTTGATTCAGTGGTTGAAGAACCTTCTACTGCTATGAAACCTAAAAAGGCGAGTGCTGCAAAAACATCTGAAAAATCAAAGAAGAAGACAAAATCTGAGGAGCCACCTGAGTCGGAAGTTGAAGAGGAAAACGGTAATGAAAGTGAAGATGCTAGCAATGAAAAAGCAAATGGGAATGGTGGAAGAAAGAAGCAGAAGGGTGGCAAGACTTCCGGCAAAGGCCGTGGTGGAGGCCGCCCATCGGCCACCACAAAGGGAGGAGCAACACCTGAAAAATCCAACAAGAGGAAGACAAAATCTGAGGAGCCACCTGAGTCAGAAGTCGAAGAGGAAAACGGTGATGAAAAAGGTGGAAGGAAGAAGCAGAAGGGCCCATCAGCCGCCACAAAGGGAGGAGCAACACCAACACCGGCCAAAAGAGGAAGAGGAAGGCCCAAGAAATCTTAGACAAGGGGTTTTGGCAGTTCGTAGTTGTAGTTGTAACTTTTTGTTTCACTCATCTCGTATATTGATTGATGATTCACCTTTTTAACTGTTGATTTCTGGTTGGATGGGGTTTTTGTTGGTTGTAGGAAAGAGAACTAATGTCGGCTATGATGGGTTTTTGCCCTTTTTGCTACCATAGTGGAACGATTCTCTTAACTCCATTTGTGTATTTTGGTATTATGATTTTGCAATTAGGTATGGTTTTGTGTGTTTTGCTAACCTTACTGGAACGGAATTTTTTGGGCCCGTTATGTGGCAGGTGGTGCCCAAATATGAAATCATGTGGTTAATATTGTGAAAATAGTTATATTTTTGATATTAAAAAGTCGACAATCTCTAAATTTAGATGTCAAAAGTGTACAACAACCAAAAAGAAGGGACACTGGTGGAGAAAATCCAAAAATGTTGTGGCAATAATGTGAAAGTTGTAGAAAATACGGTGACAAAATTCTAAAGGAGGTTTTTAGTGTTTTTTATGTCAAAATGTAAAAGTTTTGACTATAAGGACGAAAAGTGTCAAATTCATTAAAGATTTGTGGCAAAAACACCAAAATGTAAAACTTTTCACTGCAAGGGACGAAAAGTGTCAAAGTTACTAAAGATTTTTGGCAAAACCCTAAAAGCACAAAAACTTAATCAAAACACAAAAATATAAAAGTTTTGACTAAGGACTAAAAGTGTCAAATTCACTAAACATTTGTGGCAAATACTTAAAGACATAAAAGTTCTTATTGCTAACTTCCTTTAGATTTAATATATAGTAGAAAAGGACACACGGCTCCGCCACTTTTGGACTATATCATGAGAAGTTAAATATCGGCAAACTTTAAAAGATGTATTGAAAGTGTAAATCGCCACAAATAAGGGAGAAAACCGACAGCCCCTAAAAGTACAACCAAAAGAAAGAATATTGATGGAGAAAAACCAAAAATGTTGTGGCTATAATGTGAAAGTTGCTAAAGTTGGAAAAATATGGTGACAAAAGTCTAAAGGAGGTTTTTTGTGTTTTTTATGTCAAAATATAAAAGTTTTGACTGCAAGGTTGAAAAGTGTCAAAGTTACTAAAAATTTATGGCAAAAACATCAAAATATAAAAGATTTGATTGCAAGGACGAAAAGTGACAAAGTCACTAAAGATTTGTGGCAAAAATCTAAAGGCACAAAAACTTAATCAAAACATAAAAATGTAAAAGTTTTCACTTCGAGGACTAAAAATGTCAAATTCATCAAACATTTGTGGCAAAAACC